GGAAGGAGGATAAATAATTAAGTACGAAACAGTGTCATTGCCGGAATTCTATTTTGAGACCTACTGTTTACTGATCTTTGATCCTCTGGCGCCTTTGAGAGCGGATTTCCTAGCACCGGTGGAACTACCGCCAACTGGCAGGGTTGCCGATGAGCCCGGCTTATTGAGATCGCTTTCTATGCTGTTGGAGTGAGAAGAACTGCGACCAATGGCTCTAGGGAGTGTCTCCGAGCAGCCCGGAGATGTCTTAGGATTAAATCAAAAAGGTATCATTTTTTATAGCCCCGGGAGTTCGGAAGAAGAAACTTTAACACAAAGTCGAGCTGTGTGATCGGGATCTTCGAAACCAACATGGACCATGGTGTGTTTGATGCAACAAATGCCTGCCAAGAAAATAAGCCATGATGCAAAATGTAGAATTCATGCATATCAGCAGGATTAGGAGAGGGAAAGGGGTTGCCCTATGCCTTCCCTGCACTCCGTGCGGACACGTACTTGACCAAGTGACGATTATAATCTAATCTTGCCAGTTACACAGAAAACAAATGTTTGGGTAATAAAAGAGAGTGGTGTGCAGGCAACCAAAGTTAGATTATTCGCCCACAGAGGCAATAAAGCTGATAAATGGCTTGAGGCTCGACTGGGAATTAAGAATAGTAGACGTTACTAAACATAAATTTGCTTACCCTCAGAGACATTGTGGACTGAAGTTAGGCACACTTAATCACAAAGATTCCCCATACCCCATTAGCACTCTAACAAAAAGTAATTTACCTCTCAAACCATTCATCAACAAATAAAGGTTTTTTCATATAATACAAGCATTTACCGATCGCTGAGTGGTCGATCCCGAGGATTCACCGTGAGTTGAATTTTCCACCTCTGAGACTTCAACTGCGGCGTCCCTCTTGGAAGCCAAAGGCTTGTCGGACGAGGGTTCCGGAGGATCATGACTTTTTCGCCTCAAGGCAGGTGCCTTAAAAAATGTCGAGGATACAATGAACCCATCACTTTACAAATGGATGAAGGCAGAGAACGAACTCTGGGGAGGCAGTTGAGATAGAGATATCCATCCCCACCAACCTGCTTCCCTTTGACTACATCCCTGAAACTAAGGGACTGTAAGAGACACACAGCAGGTCGGGACCGCTATAGAATCCACTCTATGTTCAGAACAAGGTAACTCAATGCAGAAGTCCTATGAGTCTAATCTCGTTTTTGATGGAAGGAGGCAAACGCGGTGACTTTCTGACATAAGAAACCAAGTAAATCTTCCGGAACTTTGACGACCCCTTACCTAGGCTTCAAAGAAGACTCGTGTGAACGCGAACTGATAACGGTTCACACCCAACAGTGACAGAAAAAACATTTTCTAGTAGCGCAGGAAGATAAGGCGAATCTCGAAAAGAAAACTAATAACATCAACTTGATAGGGCTTGCAGGTACTGACTAGGCCGATGGAAATCGAATAGAACAAGGTGAAATTCATCTAAGCGCTGCGAGAGGCTACAGGCAGGACGAAGAGTCTCACCACATTGTGCCTACCATAGTGCTCAACAAGATGAGCCAAGTTAGATCGCAGAGAACGTCACTTTTATCAAAAAAGAAGCTTTGACTCTAGGATCCAAACGATGACTTGCCGTCGTTTCCATTTCGCCTTTATGACCTTATGAGCGGATACGTTACATTCTCAAATAATCAATTTAATTTTGCAATATTTGGATTTCACCATAAGAGCAATGGAATGAAGTGAGTCCGACAGAGGCAATAACCGCCTAGTCTCCTCTAAGGAACTCAAAACTTGGCGATAAGTGCCACAAAGTCGTTATCGTCATGAAAAGCAGATGCGATAATGATAAGGGTTTAAAAGTTGGTGAAAAAACACCAAGATAATACCAGCCTCAATAAGCAAAAATTCAGACAATAGCACACAAATCATTCCTCACCGGCGGTGCTTCGAACGGGCAGGTTGTATCTGCTGTGGGACTCGCCGACACTCCACCAACATCTATTACAAAATAAACCACGATACACGTTATAAATTCCTTTATTTCAATAGCAATGCAGAAGCGAACTTACTACTTGTCGCCGGAGGTGCAACCGTGACAGCAGCGATTGGTGGAGAGGCTTCAAATGGGGTGTTTATCTGCTGACGCAAAAGATAGCTGTGCTGTGGACAAGCAGCCATTTCAGCAAGAAATTCGTTTGTCAGGATGGGTACGCCATTGGCAGTGGTGTGTAACGAAGGGCTGAGACGTTGTAGCTTTAAAAAAGCGAAAACAGTGTATCAATTTAGTCCTCTTAGTGAATGGCCAAAACACGCCCTTTTTTGTTGGAGTTAGGTGGCGTAATTTCCTAAAAGCTTTTAATTCAAAAAATAGCTGTTTATCAAGACCTTATTAGATTGATTCACTCCTTCAATTTTTCACACTATAATAAACAATTTTAAACAATTTCTGAAGAAAGCTTTGAGCTGCATGTTCCAAAAAAGAAACGAAGTGACCAAAACTACACTAACCTCCGTACTGACGACCGGTGTCTGCGTAGAGTCGACTTGAACGAACAGCGTTGCTCCCGGCGGTGCAGTAGCGGTGGCTGCGCCGGGGTGAATCTCGCAAGGGTTCAGCACTGAGGCGGAGGGTTCGAGAGCCTCCACAACACGAATTGGTGAAAGAGGTCGCATTATTCCATCTAACCGATGAGTAGAAATGAAAGGATGAGTAGATTAGTAGCTGCGCGGTGAAACAGTAATCGAGTGGATTCCAAGCATTACACCAAAAAAAAAACGGCCACTATTGCACAGTTCTACATTACTAAGGAGCAACAATTAATTAGCATAAAACATCGCCTGTGCGTACACAGGAAGATCGAACGGAAAACCGGAAGCATAACCCTTTAAACCCCGCCTGTCGGGAATGCCTTCAACAGTGAAAAAAGCAAACATTTCATTTCTCCATGAGTTCCCCTTCCCGTCTAGAATAGCACGCAAATTGGACTCGCATTTGATAAGACATTTCCAGTTAAATCGCTATGAATATATGGAATTCGAGGCACCTCAGGACTCCAGTATTCAACCAAGAGTCAGACGCAAGCATAGCGCAACCACGACGCCAGTTATTTATTTATTTTAGGCAAAAGGTCGACGAAATCCTTTCATATAAGTCGAAGTGGCGCATTTATTATTTGTTAAATAGCTTCTTAATGCCATATAAATTGCATCACTTGCGCTGGCGTCTCCGAACCCACTGAAGGCGAATGGATTGCACCAAACCCCATCCACACTCTGTGAAACA